GTAGGTAGGCATGCAAAGGCAAACATGATCCAAAAAGTGAGATTTGTCTGTATTTATGTTACATTTGGTACGCATACATGACAGAATAGAACAAGACAAGACAAGAGGATAAGATTAGTCTGATTGGACAAGACGATTTGTCTGATGTTGTTTGGCACGATTAGCACATAGCAGGATTGGGCTGAACAAGTTGCCCCTAAAATTTGTTTAATAATTTTATGTGGTGGAAGTGGAGTTTTTGATTGCGGCAAAGGAGGGGTGGTTGACGATGAGTGACAGTGGTTGTGGAGGTATAGAGATGGTGGCTGGCTGGCTGGCAGTGGTGGTGGTGACAATGATGGTGGTGGTAACTGTGGATGAGGTAGAGGTGGTAGTAGCCAAGGGTGGTGGTAATGGTATCCAATGTGGAGGTGGTGGTTATGGTGGGGTGGTCAGTTGTATTTGTAGCCCCGATGGTGGTGATTGTAAAAAAGCAAATACCATATTATAGTTATATCAAATGAGAGTAGATTTTTAACTTTTTAGTTATGTCACATCGTTGTCCCATCTAGTCCCTATCTTTGTGCATGTCCCATGTAACAGTAGGAATATTAAGTTTTTGTTTTGCCTCGTGTCCGCTAAACATGAAATAGTGAGTTTTGTCATGTACTATCCAGTCCAGTATCATGTACCAAACGTAACCTTAAGGTCCATGATATATTTATTGGTCTCGAAACATATCAAGAACAAAATTTGACAGCAATGATACATATTAAAAACTTAAAGAGTAAAACTATCATTTATAATTAACTTAACTGATTTTACTAGTACTTACGATTAATTTTTCTAATTTTTTTGTTTAGTTTATTAATACGTATCTGACAATTAATCATAAGTGCTAGTAAAACCAGTTAATTTACCTTTATTATAAAAATAAATATACTCGAATTACCATTTATTAAAGTTAGTTGGATACAATTCTTCTTTTATGTTACAATGAATGAAATTGAATCTATATATATATATTAAAGRAGAAACCAAGCATAATGAGGTGGCACCTTCTAATGCTTAGAACTCATCCTATCTTTTTTCTCATTTTTTTGATTTTTTTAAATGTTGAATATATTAAAGACTTTTTTACCCCTGGATGAGAAATGTATAGCTCATAATTCATTGGGTTATTTTTGTAATTTTATATACTCAAGTTTAACCTCCAACTCTTGATTTGCTCTTACATTTATTTTCTTTTATTTCTTAAATGAAATTTGTTTTTTAAAATTTCAATAATAAACAAAATGAAATCCTAGAAAATCATTTGGTGAAGGATGAAGAAGGTGAGACTTGATCAAAAATTTTAAAAGATATGTAGAAATTATATTCATTAAAAATGTGATTTGTTATTACATATTTCTTTTTCAATATTGTTTGATTTGTTGTTATCATATGATAGATATGATTGTATTTATGATTGAATCATATAAATTGTGTTTATGATTTGATCATATAAATTTGAATAAAATTTTGATATTTTGTAATCACAAGATATGATAAACTTTTTTCGAATTTAAGCTTCATTAACAATAGCTATTTATATACGTGATTGATAATTTAAATTTTGACTACTTCATGATTTTTTCAATTGACAAAAATCATTTGGTGAGTAATGAAGAAATAAGAGTTGAAGAAAACTTAATTTTTTTAAAAAGGTATGTAAAAATTATATTATTTACAAAATCTGATTTGTTATTACATATTTTTTCTTTCAACATTGTTGAATTTGTTGTTATCGTAAGACATGATTGTGTTTACGATTTGATCATATAAATTCGAATAAAGTTTTGATAATTTATGATTACAAGATATTATAAAAAACAAATTTAAACTCCATTCACAATAATCATCAATAAGGTTGTTTTGGTAATTTTAAAAAGCTTAACCTCCAACATTTTCCTCTTCATTTTTGGAGATGAAACCTCTAAACATTTTCATGTGTTCCTCCATGATTTGTCAATGTTTTTATAATATTAAATAAGTTATATTATTCTACCCCTAAATGATAAATATGTATTCCATTATAAGAAGATTTTTTTGACCACTTCCAACTTAATTAGCTTTAACCTTCACATTACATAACTTCATAGGGACATTCATTATGCTATTTTCATCTTTTCATCTACTAATTAAAATAAACTTACAATAAATGGTGTGACACATTGTCACAAAATGATTTTTAAAAGAGATTTTCTCATTGTTTTTAATTTATGAAATGTTAAATAAGTTAAATACTTTTTTACCCGTKTATGAAAATGTGTATTTCATTATTTTYCTTAAAATAATTTTCCAAGCCATAGATGTCCTTAATTGAGCATTTAACATCATTATTTTATATAAATCTAAAAGTAAAATATGAAGTATCTTATGTGACACTTTGTGGAAAAATTATTTCATAATTCATTTTTTTTCAAATTTTTAGATTTATTTTGGATTTATTTTGYTGGTTATATTAATTATCTTTCATTAACTCATAAATGTTCTAAACCTTTCGTTTTCTATTCCGTTTTTTATCTCATCTACATATTATATCTCATTTAACGTTTTTTAAAGCAAATAAATACACATACAAATATCACATGAATATCACATTTTATTTTGTTTTTATATGTGTATTTGTTTGCTTTTATTAAATTATTTAAATTATATGATATATGTTCTTTGTTTTATTATGCTTAAAATTATTTAAATTTGTTTAAAGTTTTATTTATTTATTTATATAATATCATATTTAAAATACATAATGAAAACAAATAATGTTTTTTATTGGGTATAAACTGATTTTGCTATGCGACGGGATTAAAGACTTTGTATGAAAAAAGAGAAAATTTTAATTTTTTTATATATTCGATAAATAAAAAAAAAGATTGTCCTGTTTAATATTTTGGAGAGTTTTATTTAATGATGGTTTAAAGTTTTAGTTATGTATTTAGAATGATTRATCGTAACAATATCAGCAATTGTGAGGATGACAACATGAACAATAAAAATATGAAGGTCAATAAATTAATCATTATATTTATATTCTATAACTCTAATAAAAGAAAATGATATATGTATGAACTGACATTATAATATTTCAACATTAGTTTGATTTTTTTTTCTAAAAAAATATCGTCACAAAAACTAGTTTTAATAAATGAAAAACAAAATTCATATATTTACGGAATTTGTTGACTGAGCGAAATCAAATTCAAGACATTATCAACCACCAACCAAGCTTACATAATTTGGTCGATAGATTTGATCAATTCCATTAGATTACGACTTTACGTCATAGTTTGTGAACCAAACAACATCTTATGGATCTTATTCAATATCATTAATATCTTGTAAGGATTGTTAATGGACAAACATGTGCAATCTGTCTCATTTATCCATCAAACACAAGACAAAACTATCAAGCGTTTTTTGGGCCACATTCACGGGCTCGACCCATGTCATTGTCATTAGGCTTTAGCCTATAAGCTAACAAGTTGTTGACTTTTCACAAAAACGGGAGGACAGTATTTACAAAGTCTTAATTTATTGACCTTGTGAAGTTAGTTCAACTATTAATGAGGCTTGCGTTTTTAGGGTTCTTTGAGCTCACCCTCTCGAGTACTGTAAGGTCACTTGAGATTATCCTGATTATTATTTTTAGGGTGTGTTTGGTGTCCAAATAGGATAAGACAGGTCATGACATGATAGAACAACTGTTCAACGTTTGGTAAGATAGAACTGGACATAACAGAACAAGTAAAATGACCAATTTACCCTTGATGAGTTGTTTATTTTAATTAATTTATATAATTTGTTAAATTATAATAGAATAATTATTTTTTATAACAAAATATATCATTTGAAGTTTTCGTCAAAACAATTAAAATGATACCAAATAAAAAGTTTATGTAGTTTTCTATTTTTATTTTTATCTCTTTTCTACATTATTTATTATTATTAATATATAATAAATTACATAAATTAATAAAAATATAGAAACCGTATAAAAATAATATTTTGAGGACCGTAAAACGAAAGTTTAAGAAACATAAAATACGATAAATAAAATTTAAAGAATGAATAAAATGTAAAAAAGAGACTTGTTAGATGTTTTAGAAGAGAATCAAGTTTTATTTTGAGGTTATATTGGTAAAATATAAGTCGGTTCCACCTTGTTCCACCCTGTTTTATGGGGTAGGGGTGAAACAGGCATGTTCCACTTTGTTCTACTCTGTTCCTGTTTGTTCCACATAAAATTCATGCCAAATATGGGACAGAGATCTCTGTCATGTCCCTGTCCAATATACCAAACACACCCTTAGGGCTGCTGGAATTAGTTGAGGTGTCTACTAGATGACCCGGACACCCATAGTTAATAAAAAAATAAAGTTCTAGTTTATTTTATTTTTGTCTGGGTGTTTACGATTGTTTATATGTTCCTAAAAAATAAAATTTTGGAAATGAGATAATAAGTTGTAAACAAGATTTTGGTATTTTTCATAGTTTACAAAACATACAACTGAACGGGTAGTAGGTTTGGTCGTTTATATCTAATTTTGTAATTAATATAACTGTTTAAATACTTCACTAATCATATATATAAATATCATAAACGGAAGGTCAACCCAAGTCAAACTCTACGAAAAGGGGTCAGGATAGTGATAACAGTTGTCCATTACAACATAAATCTTTTTAGTTAGTTTTACGTGATTAAATTTTTTTGGAAGTTTAATGGTCCAGTAAAGTCATTCTTTTGATTGGACCTGACCAATTATATCTATATACATCGGAATCCCGCCTTACAATAATTTTGTCGAATCAACGAGTTTTGGTAGGTAATATCGGAATAGTCGTTGTATAGGCATATACCCTTTTCTGAAGTATGTATTTACAGTTTGTTAGTCAAAGACTTCTTGAAGTGTCGGTTCGTAAGGCCTGGTACGAAAATATCAATTAAATGACGTCTTTATCATGCCATAAATATTTAATTAAATATTATATGTTTATGTAAATACTTGATGTGATACGAGAACTAATAAAAGAATTGGTAGTGAACAATATTAACCAACTCATATCGAAGCAGTGCATGATATGCACTTGTGTTTAATTTTTGTGACTTCGCAGTGTAAGTAGAATTGAGAAAAACATATAGTTTTCAACCATATGTATCGTGTTCATGTCAATCCATCATCTTCGCATTGCTCGACCCATCCATATCGAACTCATCGTTTGCACGCTTTTGTTCTCTCTCCAATCTCGAGTTTCCACTAGAAATTCTCTCGTCAATCCAACTAATAACATCTGTAAACACCATATCAATGTTCTCCTCAAACTCTCCGTACGTGAGAGAATGCCACATTCCTGGATACAACTGAAACTTCTTGTCGAAGCTTGAAGCAGTTTCATATAATAGCTTGCTCACCGTTGGATCTGTCACCCTGTCCGCTTCTCCATGGGCAACAAAAAACGGAAATGTCACCTGTAAATCAAAAAGATTACTTTACTTCGATGATACATATAAGAGTGCCTTCAGTACTGCAAAATATCTCATGAAATGGTTTTTTTCACAACCAACACACCTCTTGGAGTCTCTTTTCAAGATCTAGACTAACGTTTAGCAACTGACTGGCAGTCTGCAAGCGTAATCGGCCTTTATAACATAATGGGTTGTTACGAACCTATCATAGAAACATATAAATTAAAAAATAGTTAGCTTTCTAAAACAAGTTTATTGTAAAATGAAAATAAAAGTAGAAGTTGGTTTACCTCCTCTCTGATTTTAGGATCTCTAAAAGCAAGATCAACGATATCTTTGCCAGGGACAATCTTCCATGTCGGGATTACTTTTGCAAGTTGCATCAACACATTAATCACCAATTGAGGTGGCTTCATATCTTCTGCAATCTGAGAAATTTAAATGATTAATCTTACATTGTAATATATATATATATATATATATATATATTGAGAATACAAAGTGTCTATAAAGCATTAATGCAATAATTTGGGGTATGGAAATGGAGAATTAGAAAGTTGGAACTAAAGGCTTGTCAATTCTTGGTGCGATACTCACTCGAAAATGATATTAAATAAATTACATCAAAAAATTAGTCTTCTAATCCTTAATTTGATAACCATACCCCCCCCCCCTCTATACATACATACTTATATATATATATATATATATATATATATATATATACTGATAGCCCAAAGATCATTAGAAAAATCTAATTTTCTTAGAAGAACAATACTCAAATCTAAGTACAAGTGAATTAATATAAATAAGATAATGAATTTATTTCCTAGAAAACATAATTCTGGCAATGAAATCAATGAAGAACACCTTTTATCATAATTGAACAGGACACAGATTAGTGATATAGTATTGAAAAGGCAAGCATAATTATAAAATGATACCTTTATTGATTAAACAATCTTGAATACATTCATCGCTGAGACAATTTGAGCATACATCAGGAGCAAAGATGAGATTGAAATCTAAAGATTTGGAATATTGAATAATAGAGAATTTGAAAGAAGGTTTAGGCATAACATTTGATCTAAGGGTTTTTCTCTGTGTCTCTTGAATTTGGATATAAAAGGATACACAAGTACTCATTCAAGAGACATAGAGAAAAACCCTTAGATCAAATGTTATGCCTAAACCTTCTTTCAAATTCTCTACTATTCAATGTTCCAAATCTTTTGATTTCAATCTCATCTTTGTTCCTGATGTATACTCAAATTGTCTCAGCGATGAATGTATTCAAGATTGTTTAATCAATAAAGGTATCATTTTATAATTATGCTTGCTTTTCAATACTATATCACTAATATGTGTCCTGTTCAATTATGATGAAAGGTCCTGTCCCATATATATAT